TCACTAAGTGATAAACTCGACTTGTTGATTAACTTGTCGAGCACCTTACTCACCGATAGCAACAGGCAGATCGGTCTGTACGCTTTGGGATCATCTGGACTCTTTCCTTTTTTGTTAAATAAGACAAGCTTGGCCCTCTTCCAAGCTGTAGGGAAGTGGCCCTGGGCTAGGCACTTGTTGAAGATCGTCCTCAGGGCTGATGGAACGATGTTCTCCAGTTCGATAAGGATTTCAAGATTGAGACCGTCGAGACCTGGAGCCTTCCCTTTTGCCAGTTTTTTCATGGCCTCTCGGACTTCGGTGTCAGTGAAGTCTGGGTCCATGTTTAAGTTATTATAAGCATGCACCTGCCGTCTCATCGCAGTGTGCTCTGGCGTATCGTCTTGTGTATTGTCTATTGGAAATAGACTTTCCACTATTTTATCTATCATTTCTTGGAATGCCAGAGTATTTCCTGTATGCGTACGTCCAATGCTACCGAGTGTTGCCTGGGCGGTAGACTTTGTCCGCGGCCAGCTTGTACGGAAGCTGCCAAGCGTTAATGCTGGCCGTTCTTTCACAGAACTTGAGCCAACTCATTTTCTTTTTGTGGCCTATCATTTTTCGATAGGTCGCTCTCTCACGCTTATACCGCAGCAAGAGTAATGCCTTTTCTTGAGGTACCATGCTCTTGGTGTACCTCCTTCTTAGTGCTCTGCACTTACTACGCTTAACCTTTAGTTCCATATCCCACCATGGAACTTTGCGATCTCTGATTAGGTTCTTCCTTAGCAGGTGTTGATCGCACACTGCTTTGAGGGAACCCATGAATTTATCGACCGCTTCGTCCAGTTGTTGAATGGTACTTGCCTCTTGGATCTTGCTGAGGAGCTCATCCGCTTGCTTACTGAAGTGTCGGATGGCTTTACGAATTTGGAATTCGTTTAATTTGTACCTTGGACTTTGCTGTCGGAACTCTTTACTACCAATCTCATAGGTTAGGTAGTTGTGATCGCTGGGGGTATCCTCAATTACCCGCCAGGTAGCTTGTGCATCACATAGTGAGTCGGAACCGACAGCAATATCTATCCAACTTTCCCCGTTTACTGTCCTAAATGTAGGCGGGGCGACCGGATCGTTCAGCACATTGAGGTTAGATCTTAAAAAACGAACTCCATGACGGAGGTACCTCGGTCATCGGTTTGAGGAGAACCCCAAGCCTCGTGCTTGGCGTTCCAGTCTCCTGCCACTAGTAGTACTTCTGTTGGTGGGAAGTACGACAGTACTAAGTCCAATTCTACAAGAAAAGGATCGATGGGCATGGATGGGGGGAAGTAGACAGATATCACTATCAGTCGCCTTCTCAGGGTGGTCAGTTCTGCCGCTACGATATAAGCATTGAGATATTTAATTGCCACGTCCATGTTTGGATTGGTGACTAGGATCGCCGTTGCCCCCTTTTCGCGGTGTATCCGCCTCCACTCTAAGGGGATTCCCGCTATTGCCCCGTCGATTAGATAGGGCTCCTGGACGATTAGTACATCCGGCGGGACTTCGGCTTCACCTATGAGTTGCTCTAAGTGTAGGGTAGCTACCTTGGATCGCCCAAGGTTACCCTGAAAGATTCGCCAAACCATACTTTCTATGGATTCACTAGCCATAGTCCGTATTGTTTCATTTGCATTAACTCCGCCTTTCCTATGGTTGTCTTAACCATAGGTAGTACGGTTACGCTGCAGTTGCAGCTCTCGCACGTAGCACGGACAGTTTCTGGACATTGTAGAGTGGGCGGTGTCCAGTTTCTGTCTCTGCTTTATGTTCACTTCCGTACAATTTCTGCAGGAAGTCTTCTCCTCATTGCACTCTTTGTAGGAGTGCTTTCCTGGGCAGTTAGAACATAGTTGCTCTGTTTCTACGCAATTCTTTTGCGTATGCCCGTATCTATAGCACCTGTAGCACCTCATAGGGCACAGGTACTCTTTGTAACGGTGGCGAGACCAACCTAAGGATAGCCTGTCACACGCTTTAATCTCTTTGTACAATGTTTGTAAAATCTGGCGTTTGTACAGATTTTACAAACATTGTAAATGATTTTACAAACATTGTACAAAGATTGTACAAACAGAGCCGGCGTAGTTTCTACTACCCAGTGCTCATAGCCTTTCCGTGCGGAGAGACGGCTTCTGACTTTGGCTGAACCTTTCGGCAGCTCGAATTGTTTTCGAAGTGCCTTGGTCACTTCAGCTTCTTCTGTGTCTTTATCGACATCGAAGATTAGAATGTGAGGGTTGCGTGTGGAGGGCTCCTTTACTCCACACTTTCCTTTGAGGCCTTTCGCTTCCTCTATGGCCTTCTTGAGCGTATCAATGTCTTCGCTCTTTGTGACACAGATTGCCACTCCCTCGTTTTTGAGTTTTCTGACTGACGTGACTTTCACGTGCAGTTCAGCGGGCCTTATATTCTGTTTTAAGAGCGCCTTAAGTTCTTCCGCCGTCTTTGGGCCGTCCTCCTCAGGATAAACCAGCACTGCTGGCTCGCGAGGCACTGGTGTTGGGCTCACCTTTGGTGCCTGCTTTGCCTTCTTCTTTTTCTTCGGTTCCTTCTGAACCTTATTTTTTCCTTTCTTTGCCATCGCAGCGTAGGACGTAGCGTCTTTAGGCGTCTCTACCTGCGTCGGCTTTTTCTCCTTCTTTTTCTCTTCCATTTGCCTAGCTGGACTGGCCAGGACTTTTTCTAGAGTGGTAGTCAGGATCTCGACCTTGGATTCGAGTCCTGCTATAATTCTGTCTTTGCTTATGAGTTCAGAGGAGAGTTTGCCAAACAACTCCCTGACTTTCCTTGACTGAATTTTGGTTGCCTCCTTGAGACAGTCTTCTAGTTCGCCGTTGACCGTGAGCAGGTCAAAGACCTCTCTTTGGTCTGCATTGCTATTAGTCTGCTCGACCGCCATCGCCTGAACAGCTATTTCAGTCATTGTCTTTCCAATAAGTGGATAAATAAGATGTATAATAATTTTCAAAAATCGCTATATATATGAGAGTTAGAGTAATGTATAATAATAATAAGAAAACGCTTTATACTAAAAGATAATCAATTGTCAGCATATATTTAAAAAGGTTTGAGCCGACCCACGACGTTTCCAGGGGCGGTCCCGGGTCCAAGGGGGCCCCCAGCCGGTTTCGTCACGTCCCACCGGCAAAACCGTCAGGTTTCTGACGTGCCACCTGCAACAGCCCGGAGTCGTGATCCACAGTACTCCGTCTCGGGCAACAACGTGGGGAGCTCAACCCCCACAGGCCTGGCCGACGCCAGGGTCCCGGGGACACGCCCAAGGGAACCTAGCCTGGGACGCAAGGGATTTCTACGAAGCGCTCCTTCGGGAAGTGCTGCTTCACTAACCGAGGCGACTCCACCCGGCGCCGTTTTATGGAATGACGGCGAAGAAGAAGAAACCGTTACAGCTGGAGCGCGCCACTTTCCACCTTTCATCGAGGGGGCCGGGCAGTTTCCCGAGCCCAAGGGGGACATGTCACCATGCCGATTCCCAAGAGTGGTACCACTCCCCTACCACTAAAGGCGGGCCTCAACGACTTCCAGTGTACGGTATTGACACTCCAACTGCCTGTGTCCTTAGGGTTAGTGGCGAACCCGGACAAAGCCATAGAAAAGGCTGGTAGTTAGAATATTTGAACGTCCGGGGGTCCGTATCCCCTTTCGTTCCTCTCTATCAACGCTTTCTCCACGGGTTTGCTAGGTCCGTGTTAGGTTATTTCTGTTATTATTTTTGTATTTTCTTTGATTTTTAAAACTTTTTTTTGGATTTTGTATTTTTAATACTTTTTTTGGATTTTGGTGTGGACTTAGGCTTTCCCAGGGCCCAGAGGTCAATACACACCGGTGTTAGTGGTCTCTATCGCGCGCCACTTGGTCCGACGGTTGGTCATTAAACATGCATATCTATGGGAGTACCCTAAGCGAGTCTCTCCAGTAGAACCTTTTTACCCGGACCGTTTGTATGGTCGCATTTGGGTCTATGTCCGGAAGCGGTTTGCCAGACCGTTCCGGAGAGTCAACCCGTGGCGGGTTGAAATATTTTCCTGCCGGTAAAGACCGGTGGGGGGACGAAGGACAACAGGATCCTTGCCTTAGTCGTTTTCACCAGTCTAGACCTTTTTGAAATATAATAGGTCTGCTATCGAGCTCATGCCCTATGTCGGAGCCGAGTGGTGATGTTAGTGTAAGCGCCGCATTTGGGCCTTACCTGGGCTCCGAAAACTCTGGTGTTGCCGACTGTATTGGACCAGGTGTGTCAAGCCTGTCCTTTAAGTCCGTTTTGGACTTAGAAGAGTTTAGCTACTGAAGTCCAGTGCCCTCTGGACTCTGTTGCCAGGGCCATCAGGCCCCGGACTTAGGCGAATTTCTTCATTTCCAAAAAGGACTTTGTCCTTTTTTATGTCTAAGCCCGTTGGACCCAGTGCTATGAATACCCTAACTGTGCATCGAATGCACCCGAAATTTTCTAAGTCCAAACTCTCCAAGCCCTTTTGGGACTTAGAGTATTTTTGTTCTCTTCCAATATCAGCTGCCTCCGATACTTTCTATGTCCGAATTGACTAAGTCCCTTTTTGGACTTTGATTATTTTTGCTCTTTATTCTCATTTATATTCTAAGTCCAACAGCTCCGAGATTTTTCTAAGTCCCAGGAGCAGGAGCCAAACAACTCAACTTTCCTATTGCATAAAAATGGGGAGCGACAGGAGCACGAGGCCCCCGCCGATCCCACCTGAGTCCCGATCTGGGCTCGAAATCTTCCGATACTGCCGTCCTCAGTATTGAATGGTGGCTCTGCTCTTGAGCGCACCAAGTCCTTTTTCGGACCTAGAAGACATTATCTTCGAAGTCCAGTGCCCTCTGGACTCTGTTTCCAGGGTCCTCAGACCCCGGACTTAGAAGAATTTCTTCAGGTCCAATATGGACTATACCTTTTTAAAATTTCTAAGTCCTTTCTGGACTTAGAATATTTCTGCCCTTTAGGTATTTTCCTTTTGACTTAGAATATTTCTGCCCTTTAGGTATTTTCCTTTTTATTTCTAAGTCCAACAATTTCAGAATTTTTCTAAGTCCCAGAAGCAGGAGGCAAACAACTCAACTTTTGCTTTTCATAGAAATGGGGAACGACAGGAGCCGAAGCTCCTGCCGTTCCCCACCGGGTTTCTCGAGCAGTTTTGTCTTTCGTAGCGCAGCCAGCTCTTTTGTGGTTTGATCCACGGCTGGAATAGGTCATGCGCGCTCGACCCCCAGACGGATGCCAACCTCATCCGATTTCTGAGCCATGCTTTCGCTATTTAGTACGGCCATGCTGTACTTTGCTTAAATTAGCGCCAGTTCTGCTATATTTTCCCATTGATTTGTGGGATCCGTCAATTCCTTTTTTATATCAAGTCCTTTATTCAATTCCTTTTAGTTTCAACAATTGTTTTTTATTCTGGTTTTCTCCAGTGCTTGGCTCTATCCATGCCACCCTGCACGAACAGGTATGCTGTTTTCTCACCGTCGACAGAGTCACGGTATTACATAATGGAACATTTTTAAGCGGACGAGGTAGCCAAACTCGATGCCGCCAAGTGACCCCTCAAGGCTCCGAAGAGCCAAGGCCGAGGCAGTGGTTGGGTACAAGACCTTTCCACCGACACTCAGAGGGCCTGGTGCGTTGCGTACTGGGTTCTGGGCAGAGCTGAATCCTCCGGATCCTACCGCTTCGATCCCGGGGGCACCGCTGCAGTTGCAAGGCGCTGCCAGGAACGTGTTTCGGAAGGGGAATCTGGTTATTACCCAGGTCCGTGGTTGCCTCTTTGGGCGGCAGAGTCCCACATCTCTGCATCCACAGCACGTCCACATCCATCATCCGTCCCAAGACCAAGAAGCTTTCCACACTATGAGAATCAAGGGTCTATCCGGATGTGGCCCAGACGACACCCAGGAGTTTTTAAGTCCCAGGCTTAGGCACGCAAAGACAATTTTTGCCCAGGTTTTATTCCTGAGGGGAGAACGCCGCCGTCATAATTGCACCTCTTCGAGGTGTCCCCGCACCCTCAAGGGGATTGACGCGAGCTAGATGGTAGGGCTGCACTACCACCATATGCGGGGAGATCCACACCTACAGCGGCTGTCCGATTGTAGGGGACCCGATCCTCTACCACCGGTAATCCGTAGACCGACACCCGGAGGCCTCGCGGTACTTCTCTCCGTTCTCTGGATTCCCTAGGACAATGGGGCAAGCCCCACCCGAAGGCGGGGCCCCTTTCCCGGCGCGGGGTACTAAGTTTAGCCCTTCCCATGCCTCGGTACAATAATGTATGCGAGTGGGTGGAGTAGGATCGCCTGACCCTCCGGCCCTGGCAACAGAGGCGGTTTAGTCCGTACGGACCTGTCTTTCAAGACTAGAGTCATTAGCCGCCCCGACCGAAGTCGAGGCGTTGCCACCCCCCCGGCACGATGAGCCTGACTCTCGTGGGGGGGAGTAGATAGGGACAGAAGGAATCTCGTTAATCCATTCATGCGCGTCACTAATTAGATGACGAGGCATTTGGCTACGGCCGCCACGTGACGACATCGCGTCCGAGCGGATTTCCAAGGATACCAGGCCTCCCGTAGGCACTTG